TTCAGTAAGAAGGTATTAATGCAGTGTTATAAATGAATTTTAAGTAGTAGATGAACTCACAAATATGGATCCTTTTGGAGAGTTCCTCTGGCAAAGGGAGTAGGAGCAGTAGGTCATCTAAAATGATGGTTTTGGAATGGTCACAAAGAGTTTACCTGCTTTCAGCATGTGGTGACAATGTGATCCCATGAATGCTGAAGGTCACTGAAATAGCTGACCTGGAGCCCATATGGGCATGTCATGCAGGTGAAGAAAGAAAGATGCAGCCAGGTATTATCCAACAGGTGGTCAGACATCAGACAGAAATGAGAACTCCCTATTAGATACCAGAGTCCATAAATAGCAGAAGGAAATCAGATGCTTCCTTCCTTTACATCCTGAATCCACCTATGCTCCATACCCCGGTGCTCCAAAAGCCGGAAATCAGATGCAGTTCTCAACAGAAGAGGTATCCTCATTTGACTGAAATTATTCTAAGCATATGGGTAAAGCCATAAATTAATTCAGATTTAGGATATGCTTAAAATAGAAATAATTATCAAACATTGGGGATTTATAGTAAAGAGTTGAATCATTTTAGTATTCATTCACCAACACATATTTATTGCCATGTCTAGAAAGTGAGAATACCATATTAAAGGTGTCAYATCCTAGATGGACACGAAGGCATGCCTAGCAAATAAACAAATACAGGATGACCTATAAAATGCATGACATGTTTTGGCACAGGCAAGGATTATAGAAATTGAAGGGTGAAAAATAAAGACCACTTTTAATGTTGACATATGGAGACACTTCACCCAAGAGGAAGGATAATTTAACTAGTCATAAAGCACAATAATGGTTTGCACAAATAAGGGGGGAAAAAAGACCAGATGCCATGGCATATACCTATAATCCCGCTCCTCAGGAGGCTGAGGCAGGAGGATCACAACTTCAAGGTCAGCCTCAACAACTTAGTAAATCCTCATATTAAAAGGAAAGAAAGAAAGAGACAGGAAAAGAGAGAGAGATGCAATCAGGGGGAAAGTAGGAAAGTATTTTCTATGAGAAGAATGCCCGAGGAGTTGAACATGCTCAAGGCATGCCTGGAGGAAAATAAATAGATCAGTTTAAACTAAGTCGAATAATAATAAAGAATAGTGTGAGATAATATGACTAGCATGGCATTTCTCTTGGTGAATGACTAGTTATGAGGACAAAGCAGAAAAGCATGAATGAATCATAATAGACAAATCTAGTTTTGAGCCTGGGAATTTAGAATTAGGATATTAATGACAGAAGTAGGGAAGCCAGTGCAGAGCTAGTTTCGGGCAAAATGAATATGAGGTGACAACATGACATCCAGGGAAGTGATAAGCAAGCAGCTAAAGATGAGAAACTGGATCTCGTGGAGAAACAAAATTGGAAATGTGGATTTGAGACTTATCAATGCTGAGATAATTACTGAGGCCTGTGAGTGGTGACTATCTGACGTGAGGCAATTAAAAAAAAAAGTAGAAGTGATGTCCACAAAGAAAACAAAGAAGGAGCTGTCAGGAAATTAGAATGTAATCTATCCCAGGAGAAGAGTCAGGACAATATGCAAGAGGGCATGAGATCAGCAGCATGAAATGCCAGACAGGGATAAAAGAGACAGAGACCAAGGAGCGGCAGAATTTCCTGATGAGATTATTCTAGTGGGAGCAATGTCAGTGGAGAGGTAGAGGTAAAGGAATTCTTTTGAGAATGGGTTTAAGAGTTAGCTGATAGAGAAGGAAAAGATAATTGTTATTTGACCATTATAAGACAAATAAAATTAAGAAATTGCTAGATTTATAGCATCATCCAGGAATAGGGTGAGGAGCTACTTTCGTTTTATTTTTATGTTTGATGTTCCTGCACACTAAAGGAAAGCATTCTATGGAGGAAAATCAATCAAGGAATAACAATTCCAGAAGGCTTTGAAAAAAGATGATCTAACCTAGCTCATTGTGTTTCAGGCACTGTTCTGTGTGGTTTATACATATTAGACCATCTTTTCTATAATACTCTGAAAAGTTGAGTACTATTATCATCTTTGTTTTAAAGATGAGTAAATGGAGGCATGAAGAGGCCAACTGACATGCCCAATATCACCATCTGGAAGGCATGGGGTCAGAATGAATTCAGGTTAAGTGACTAGAAGCATTATACTCTTATCCACTGGGCTATATCACTTTCAGTGATTATCGAGGAAGTAAATGAATGACTTTCTTCATGAGACTGGAGGCAAGAAAGGAAGGTAGATATCCTGGTTTATGCCAGAATGACAATGAAAGCACCTGAGACTATCATGTGAGGTGTGACATCATATTACAGAGTTCCTTCTGGAAACTAAGAAAGGAGAGAAGAGGTTGGGAGAGGACTTAGTACTTGAGGAGTTCCTGGAATTCAGAAGGATGCACTGCAGACTCAACATAAGCATACAACTGTGGGACGCCTTCTGGAGCCCCTACGGATAAGGCACCCCTAAAGACTGATAAGTCAAGGTCAGTGTGGACCTCCAGAGAAAGGGTGGAAGATCTGAGTCTGGAGATAAGCCCAGTGGGTAAAGTTGTAAGGTCGAACTTGGGAGAGATGTGAGGATATTGGAGAAAAGTTAATGTAGGTGGCAGATTACATTTTATAATTCCAGACAAGAGGCAGTTTTCAAGTAAAAAGAATTTTGATAAATTAATATGGTATTGGCTCAATATCAACAACACAAGGTTTGTAAACCTACATATCAAACTGGATGATCCATATATTTCAATAGGAGCAATAGATACAAGTCTAAGCAATTGAGTCTTCCRCTAGAAAAATATTGTCTTACTACAGGATGATGACCATGATGGTGATTTTATTAATAATATTATTTTAGATTTGATTGGTTCCTTATTCACTATCAATTAATCTCAGACTCTGAAAAACAAAATTTTTTATGTGAACTGAAAGTACATGTCCAAATTCACATGGCTTTGGCTTTTACTTTTTTCTTCTTCTTTTCTTTCTTTTTCTGTTTGCTTGTTTCAGGCAGGATCTCACTGTGTTGCCAAGGCTAGTTTCCAACTCATAGGTTCAAGAGATCCTTTCACTTCAGCCTCCCAAGCAGTCAGGGCTATAAGGCATTAGCCACCATGCCTAGATCCACATGACTTAAGTGAACAAGCAAAGGCTAACATATGAATGAAATGCTGAGTCAATCCTTGTTGAACAGTTCTAGAAAACACCATTAAAAATCAAAAGAGTAGAATAGTTCATGTAATTAATTCATGACTAGGAAATACAATCATAACCCTATGATAGATGACATTTTATAATAAACTGGCTATATTATTATAAGAATTATTAACTTCAATAACTAAATGGATTTCATAAATGTTGGCAAACATTAAGTCACAGAGAATTTCAAATAATATAAAACCATTTTTAAATATCAGTCTTCCTCCGCTGATATACTTTTTTATTTAAGATCAGGAGTAAAAAACAACCAAAAGTCATAAAAATGTCATGTTGAACTTTGTTGGCAGACAATGGATGTTTTAGACCTTGTTTAATCAGGATTGATCACTCAGCTCTCAAAGATGGCATAAAATATAAACAGCTCATTCTTCTTTGTACAATAATGTTCACTATTTAGATGGTTGTTTGTGTTTATTTAGACTGAGTTTATAACCATTATTTCAAAAATAAATAAATAAATAAAATTTAAGCTTAGGGCCCAGGGAGTACCCAGGAGTATTGTTCACYTGTTTCTTGGAAGATGGCCTTCATGGATTTTCAACTATAGTGATGTATTTAATTAGTTATAAAGAATTTGGAAGATAAATGCTTAACAAGATTTTGAATTATTCAAGAAAATTTATTTGAAGGCCCAGTTTTACTGGTAAATCATTTTTTAGGAGATTTTCATTGTCTGAGAATCTGTACTAGCTAGGTTGCCATTACAATACAGCACTCTAAACATCAAACAGAGTTTACACGTAAGTGCAATATAGTGTTGACTGCTGGCTTTTTTTTTTTTGCAGGGTGGGGGGATACTGAGGACTAAACTCAGGGCACTCGACCACTGAGCCACATTCCCAGACCTATTTTATATTTTATTTAGAGACAGGGTCTCACTGAGTTGCTTAGGGCCTTGCCGTTGCTGAGGCTGGCTTTGAAATCTTGATTCTCCTGTCTCAGCCTCCTGAGCTGCTGGGATTTCAGGCATGTGCCACCGTGCCCAGCTTGATTGCTGGCTTTTAATAAAACACATGATTATATTCCAGAACCAATCGAAAATATTTAATACTTTGTTTCCTGTATGCACACATACATACATTTTATGTATCCACACATACACATATACATTTGTGCATATATATACATATATTGATGCATAAATGTACATGTGTATGTGTGTGTGTGTGTATATATATATATATATATATATATATTTAATATATATATAAATATATATATTTCTCCAGGTACTGAACACTTCATGACTTTTTACATATCTTATTACTCTGCACTAATGAGATGGCTAGACTCATTTAAAAATCCGTTAATATTTTTCAGATACTTGCTGAAATTCTAAGTATTTCTTTGCACGTTGACTGAAATTACAAGTGCCTCCTCATCAACTAACTGTGATTTAAAGAAGCTTTTTAAGACCACTGAACTAAAACTACAACAATAAATTTTTAATGGCATCTTGTAAAGTTTTAGAAAACTTCTTGCCATCTCCACATTAGTGTCAAAACACTAAAAATGAGAAACACAAATCAGGAAATGACTTTAGAAAGAAAAGTAAATTTTTATTATTTCTCAAGTTCAATTATTATCTGCTTATAAATAACGTTCTTCAATACAAATACCTGGTATTCTTAGCACATTTAAATATTAAATCTTTAAATATTCTTAATCTATAAGTTTCTTCCTTATGTAAGTTTTAATGGTTAAGCATAGTGAAGGTTCCCAGCACAGACATCCCCGTTTGGGTAGAGAATTCTCACCTTATTATAGGCGTTGTGACTAAGGAGGGTGTGAGAATTCGCCTGTTCATCACTCAGTGAGAAGGAGGACAAATGACTGAAGGGTCCTGGGGTAAGACAGTCAGCATGTGGGAGGGTCTGAGGCTGCAGCAGGGACTTAGCAGGAGGATAGAGTTTAGTCTGATATAAAGGATGGAGAGAAACAGGCTTGTGAGGCACTGTCACATCCTGGGAAGAAGAAAGGCATAAGGAGTACGTTAGTGGACAAGAGTCGAGCACACTTTTAGTTCTATTGTAGATGCACTAGTATGAAGAACAGACTTCTCATAAGGAGGTATCACTCACAAGACACCTGCTTCAGAGTGTACTATTTGTCTCTTTCAATAATTCCTTTTTATCCCCCATCTCCAGCCTTTGTGCAGAGCAAAATAAGGGCCTGCACAGTGTCTCCTGAAGGGGGCTAAGTTTGTTATTTTTGGAAGTCTTGAGAGCAGAAATGTGTAAGAAAGGAGAGAGCCTATCCAAAGAGGTTGGATGGGGATATTTAAAGAGGAAATAGCGGTGGAAATCAATTCAAGGATGCTTCTGACTTTCTCTGGAAAAAATTGGAGGAGACAGAATAGGGCATTGTAGAAGATATTAAAATCTGAGTGGAGGGATTGAGGTACTAGGTTTAGTTCACCAAATAGTGAGTTATCAAGTTTAATTTAGCAGAAAAAAAGAATTGGGGAAAGTTGAATCTGAAAGGAATGAAGGAAGACTTCAATTCCAGGCATTGTCCCCTTGGAGAGAACCCAGCTGTGCAACCCCAGAGAGAGGTAACAGCCCTTAGGGTGATCTTTAATATGGAAATGGGAGGAGCCAAAAAAACTTTGTGGAGGTAAGAGCTATTTAATGAGACTATGAATGATGTGAATAGCAAGGAAATTATGAAAATGAGAATGTATTCTATCAATAAAAGTTGCAAAAAGAGCGTATATGTATGTATGTACATATACATTTATGTACTTTTTAAATGTAACCTGAATTCATTTTTCCAAGCAATATATTTTTAAACAACTGATTGATTTTCAAAAATGTACACTTCATGTGTTTCTATACCAGAAGATATCCTATATTTTAAAAATATTTTCAAATAATTGGTTAAAATTTATCTTAAAAACTTCTTGGAAATTTTTAAGTAAGCTAAAAAATCTTAAGTTTGCAGAATGATAGGTTTCAACCTTCTACACCTTGAAAGAATGACTGTGTTTTATTTCTATTAGTTTTTCATTTGTTCTTCAAGTATATCTTTAGCAAAAATACAAATACATATTCTAATTTCACACATAGACAACAAGCATACACTCACTATAAAAAAGATAGCATCCTTTACACAATATCCTGTATCACATTTGTTTTTTCATTTAACAACAATTTTGGAATACTTATCAGTATTTTAAAGCTATTCATTTTCTACCAAGACACATTATTGAGTTATTCTAATTATTATTTAATAATTTAATAATTATTTATTGTCATTTAGTTGATTCCCTTAGAAATTCCAGGTGAATCACTTAAAATCAAATTACCTAATACTGATGAGATTATCTCCTCTCTGCTACTTAAAACACTTCTCATTTTTTTTTGTCTAATTTCATTAACTAATAGTTCTCAATATTCTTATATTGAAATATATTCTGCTTTGTCTTATTTATCAATCAAATATTTTATAGTTTTATTAAGAACTCATTACAGGGCTGGGGATGTGGCTCAAGCGGTAGCGCGCTCGCCTGGCATGCGGGTTCGATCCTCAGCACCACATACAAACAAAGATGTGTCCGCCGAGAACTAAAAAATAAATATTAAAAGTTCTCTCTCTCTCTCTCTCTCTCTCTCTCTCTCTCTCTCTCTCTCTCTCTCTCCTCTCTCACTCTCTCTTTAAAAAAAAATCTTAAATAAAGAACTCATTACACATCTTAATCAGTGTGAAAAGTGAATAACATGAAAACTGAATAGCAAACACAAAACTAGTTATACATGAAAAGGGAAGATTGTTCTTGATAGTTGAAGGTGCTTAGAAAAAGGTGGATGGAACAGTCTCTGGTTAGGCTTCATTTTTCTTGATGGGTTTAAGAACCCATTCTCAGGATGTCCAGGGACATCCAGTGATTCATGGGAAACAGAAGGTACACAATATGGGAGAATCCTGTAGACTCTAGTTTTATGCAGTCAGGAGGAAAATGTCCTCCTAGAGTGTGCAGCTCTGTGTTTTATACTTCTGAGTTCACTGTGGCTAAACTCCAATTCATGGGAGTAAATCAAACCTGAACCCCTTGTGGGATTATGTCACCACACGATCCTAGCTTACCCAGGCATCTGGGCAGACAGGGAGAGCAGAATTTTATCAGCAACAGGACAGGCCAAAGAGAACAAAGAGTCTGGGCCAATCTCATGTGAGTACTGCTGGGTTTACAGTGCAGAATAAAGGAGAAAATATTTTTTATATCTATGTCACCTAAGCCTTCTCTTTCAGTCTGTGCTAGCTATCTCTTGGGCTTTGCATCAAGTTATTATCCTGCCATTCTCTTTACCATTACCCTGGGAATTTTCTCTGCTTTGTTCTTGTATTCAAACTTCCGTTTCCAAAATTCTAAGGTTCTTTTTCTTGGTTTTCTCCTCTATTTGCGCATTAAGCTATAAATTTTCTTGCAAAGACTATTTTATCTATATCTTCTATATTCTAAAATATAATAATTGTAAGGACGATGATCTTATTACCATTTTTCCTCAGGTAGAAATCTTATGTTTTTTCAAGTTGTATCTCTTTTTCATTAGTTTAAGAAGTTGGTTTTAATATTATACAAAGTAACATATAATCATTATAGAAAAATTAGAAGATAGAAGCAAGCCAAAAGACAATTTAAAAAAGTAATTTTAATCCTATGAACCCAAATACAATCTTCCAAATATACTTCTTTGGGGTGGTGAGGGAATAACATACCTCCTGATTTCAAAATATGCTACAAAACTACAAATCAAAACAGTTTAAGGTACTGGCATAAAAATAGACATGTAAGCCAATGGAACCAGAGTAAAGAGTGCAAAAATAAATCCATTCTTTATGACAAATCAGCTGATTTTTTATAACAATGCTAAATCATACAATGGAGAAAAAATAGACGTCTTTAATAAGGGAATCCTATATATCCATATCAGAAGGATAAAATTGGACCCTTGTCTCACACTATGTGCAAGAAATCAACTTAAGATGGATAAAAGACTTAAACCTATCATATTTCATACATTTGATTCAAATGGGTTATGAATTATTATTTTTATCAGATTGCAGGATCACATTGGTTACACATCGACATTTGTACATACTTCCATACTAGTGTCTGTTGTATTCTGCTGTCATTGTAATGTTTTGAGCAACCAGTAAAAAAGAAAAAAGACTTAAACTTAAAGCCTGAAACTATAAAACTACTAGAAGAAAAGAAGGGAAAAATTTTTTGACATTGGCTTGGGGAGTAATTTTTTGAATATGACATCTAAAACATAAGCAACAAAAAGTAAAACTTTATGCATGAAAAAAATCAACAAAGTATAAAGGCAATCTATGGAATAATATCTGTAAACTATATTCCCAATAAGGGCTAATATCCAAACTATACATGTAATTTAAACAAGTCAATATAAGAATCTTAATAATAAAAACTCCCCCCCACACACACACATAAAACTCCGACTTAAAAATGAGCAAGGGACTTGGTTTAGGTAGCTTTGCATTGCTGTGATCGTGCCCAAGATTACAAAAACTCTGTTAACTGCACTGCTAACAATATTATTTTTCAGGTCATTAGCTAATAACTTATTAGAATAAACATTTTCATTCTGGAACTTTCTCAGGGTATAAGATCATCTCTAATGACAAAGAATCAAATAAAGGCACATTTCTCGCCTCTGGAAAAAAAAATACCTGACAAGAATAAATCAGAGGAGGGAAAGTTTATTTTGGCTCATGGTTTCAGAGATTCAGTCCACAGTGTGCTGACTCCACTGTTCTGGATCCAAGGTGAGGCTGAACATTATGGTATAAGAATGTGGGGAAGGGAAGCTGCTCATTGCATGGTGACCAGGAAGCAGAGAGAAGGGACATGGAGTTAGGGCCACAAGGAAGATGAACCCTTTCAGTATATGCACCCAGTGTTCACCTCCTCCAATCACAGCCCACCTGCCTAGAGCTACCACCCAGTCAGTCTATTCAAACAAGGATGGACTGGTTAATTACAGATCTTATAACTTAATCACAGCCCACCTGCCTAGAGCTACCACCCAGTCAGTCTATTCAAACAAGGATGGACTGGTTAATTACAGATCTTATAACTTAATCACTTCTCCTCCAAACATTCCTGTACCAACACAAGAGCTTTTGGCACCATATATCCAAACCATAACAGGACCTAACTAGATATTTCTCAAAAGAAGATATGGCTAATGAATAAGTGGAAAGGCTAATGGAGATATGAAAAAAAGTTCAGCATCACTGATCATTAGGGAAATGCAACACAACCACAATGAGATWTCACCTCACCTCCATTAGAATGATGATGATCCAAAGATTACAAGTATTGGAAAGAATGTGGATAAAAGAGAACCCTTGTGCACTGTTGTCAGGAATGTAAATTAGTTTAACCATTATGGAAAATTATATAAGTTCCTCGTAAAATTGGAACTAAAACTACCATATGAACTAGCAATCCCAACACTGGATATATATGCAAAGAAATTGAAATTAGTATGTTGAAGAGACACTTGCACTCCCATGTTCATTGCAACACTATTCATAACAGCCCAGAAATGGAAACAACTTAAGTGTCCATCAACCAATAAATTAAACCTTTAAACATAAGGTAAAAACGTTGATGAGATTATGAAGGAAAGGAAAACTTTGTACACTGTTTATGGGAATGTAAATTCCAACACTTAATATGGAAAGCAATAGTGAAATTCCCCCCAAAATAGAAAATATTACTACCATAAAATCTAGCAATTTCACTTCTTGATATATACCCAAGGAAATTAAATCAGTAGCTTGAGATACTAGTACTCCCATGTTCTCTGAATAATTATTCACAAAATACAAGATATAGTAACAACTTAGATGTCCATTAGTTGTCAACATATAGAGAAAATGTAGTAGATAAACCTACAATGGAAAATAATCAACCTTACAAAAGAAGGAA